TCCAGAAGTACACCATTAGTGATGACAACATAAACCGATCCACGGATACCATACCTGATCCAACCCAGTCAAAGCGGATAAACCCCGCATTAACGGATTACGGGCCGGATTCGTGTTTAAACTCGTTCTACTAATTTGTGGGTTGGATTGGATTCGGGTTTAGCCATTTCCAACCCGTATCCGTACCCAACCACACTCACAGAGCCCACAGACCCCGAAAATATATCCATTTTTGGTTGGTCTCGTATTTTCCATGATAATTTCTTCCCCAAAAATGTTCCAATTTTAATGCTTTATAGGGAACTTGGGATCATTGTAGGGATGGGCATCCAATTTGGTAAACCCAAATCGAATCGAACTAAAATCGAACACAACCCAACCGAAACCGAATTAATGTTATTCGGTTTAAATTTGAAGCCACCGATGTCCCCTCCCCCGACCCTTCAATCACTCTTCAATCCAATCACCCACATGCAGACCCAGCGCCGGCGGCAGAATTCTCTCCCCTGCCTACTCATCACAAAACTTCCTCTTTCATTTTGGTTCCCGACGAAGGAAAATGAACAAGGGGGTTTGAATCAGCTTAAGGGTATGTTTAAGGTTTAAGGGTTCTGTTTAAGGCGGTGCGAAAAATTGATATCTGGTCTTTGTTTATTTATTTAAGGGTTTTGAAGTTGGGTAGATGGGAAAAAGAAGATAGATGGTGAGAGAGAGAGAGAGAGAGAATCGGGGAAGGAGGGAATGGGAAGAGATAGGGAAGTAGACAAATGGGGTGGATAGGCTTTGGTTTGACCAGCCCAAACTGAAATATATTTCGGTTCATAATTGATTTAGCCATTTGGTGTAATAGGGGTACAGGTATGCGCTGGTTCGATTCGATTTGAACCAAATCGAACTGATGCTCACCCCTAGATCATTGGTCGGCAATTGTGGGCTTACACATTTTGCACAACATTTAAACTAGAGCCAGAAGTCTATTACTCTCACATTAAACAGGATTTAAAATTAGTTGATGGTTGTTTGTTAAGTGCTATTAATCGCGTTGTTTGTGTTCTCAGGGAGGAAGAAGCATTCTATTAATCGTGTTATCTACGGATTTTTATCTTTAATGTTAAATAATTTGTAAGGATAATTTGCGTTTTGCATATATGTACTAGATTGGTATCTTTGTATGGATAATTTGTGTGGAGAGATGGGTGTTAGACTTTTATTTTGACAAGAGATTGTTATTATTAATTTTTTACCACAGAACCCACGGGTATCCATAAACCCGCAAATAAGTTTTTCAAACCTGATAAATTTTACCCCGGATTTTTCTATGGATAAACTCATGGGTTTGGATTAGGCAAAACCCAGCCCATTGCCATCCCTATACACCAGCCTGACCCACTAGGGTTAATTGCATCGGATAACAGTTAAGTTTCAGGTTTATTGCACACTAGCCATCTGAAGATATTTTGTTGCAACTAAACTACTTAAGTGTAATTTTTGTTGTACCGTTACCTTGTCCGTTTCAAAACTTTGTTAGAGTATTAAAAATTAATTTTACCTATCACACCTACAATTCAGCTCAACCTGGGTATCACGGGTCATCAGTCGCCACTCAACATCTGGTGAATATCCCATTCTTCGATATTTCACACAAGTCTATTACCAATGGAGCTACTGCCATAATTGAACTTGGATCAAGAGAATCATGCAACTTATTATGGTTCTTCGATGAGGAATATACTTCCTGCACATGGCGAACTAGCCCTCTACCATCAAGCTCTTGGCAGACTGCGGCACCATTGGTCCTTACTAGAATCCTTAATTATTGAGACCACAATATTGACACAATGGGAGCAATGCCAAAGGCTATTATTAAGAAAGGAGCTCACATATCTTCTTGGATCATTATTTTGGAAGCATTTGAGAAACAAAACAGAAAATTCGAGAAATATGGTGGCCAAAAAGAACAAAAAGAAGAAAAATAACGAAACAACAACATTGAATAATAGAGGGATTTTCATTTTCTTTCCTCAATCGAGAGTCACCTACGCTAGATAATGGCATTTGGGATAATTTATCTTAGGGAAACAACTTGAACGTTTTGTTGGAAACCCATCGATATTAGAGTGGTTGATCGTCAGGAAATCAATTGTGGCTTCGATTCTCCACGATAAATTTGCATCGATTTCCGAATGGAACTTGCCAACAAGCTCAAACGTTGGATCTCGCAAACTCGTGATAGGATAATCGCCATTAAAACCAACTCGAGGCTGTTACTCTGGCCATGGTACCCAAGCTCCAGTGAGTGAGCCATATGTAGCAAGTTACGAGCTAGGGATAGAATTTGATTGGGCAAGGTGGTGGGTTTTAATATGTTTGAATGGAAAGAAGAGATGATTGATCCTGCGATGTTCATAAGCTTTGACTTCTGTAAAAAAGTGGCACTCGGAGAAGAGAGATCCATAATCGCAGTGGTGTTGGAGGATTACGGTGGTTATGATCGTAATTGGCTAATTGCTCAAGTGATTCAGTTGGAAAATTATCTTTTCATACCTGCTATTAAGTTTTTGAAGGAAAAGTTAACGGTGCAACAAAAGTTAGATTTAGGTGGTTTATTTGCAACAAAATATACTAAGATGGTCAATATGCAACCCAACTAAAACTTAAGTGTTATCCTATGCATTTAACCCGACCCACTATTATATATTTATCATAGAGTCATATTGTGTATTAGTTTGAATCTTTTTATTAGAGTGCTAAAGATTATGTATTCTTTCTAAAACGATATTTTGAGTTCAATAGTCGATACTATACAACTTTTTAATCATTGGTTTGAACCAATGATTGTAAAACTGTACCAAAAAATTTAGTGGTAAGATATTTTATATTAAAATCGTATTTACTCATGATTCAACTGTTTCGTACTGCTAAAATTATCTATCGATTTAACATTCAGGAAGTGATTTTCTGGTCGAACCATTTGATACTATTTTTCAATCTATTTAAGTAATAAAGCCCAGTCCAGGCAAATTAAATAAGTGAAACAGAAGATAATGAGCCCACAGCCCCACACTTTTCAATTGGATTTTGGGCTGAGAATCTTTGGGCCTAGGAATACCGCTTCCCGATTAAAAACGACGACGCATCATGATTCGACCCGATCCGACCCACTATTTTATCGCACTTGTTCGAGAAAATGGAAACCGGCGCATTCAAATTTTGAAATCCCACAAAGAACAGAGTTAGAGAGAGAGAAGGAAGATCAGAGTAGCAACCGGCAGCAGTACGCAAGGATGATGAAGTCTTACTACAAGCAGAAGAAGCCCAACCGGAGCGACGCCATCGGCAAACCCTCCAAGTCAATCAAGAAGAAATCCCCGGCCGCCTCTCTCGGCGCGGCCGCTGCTCAACCCGCCGCCTTAATCACTTCTCCCCACGGCGATCCTGATCTCCAAGGTCCTCTCTCTCTGCTCTGCGTCCCGATCTTGATTGATTTTTCTGTCGCTTTGACAGTTCTGGAAGTTTTTTTTTTTGTTTGTTTGTTTTTGCTTGCAGAGGATGTGGAGAAGAGCGAGCAGGTGCTGCGGGAATTTGACATGAACATGGCCTACGGGCCTTGCATCGGAATGACGAGATTGGCACGCTGGGAAAGGGCTCAACGACTGGGTCTCGATCCCCCGGGAGAAGTCAGGAGTCTGCTGGACTCCAGCAAAGCCCAGACGAAGAGCCTCTGGGATGATCGTGTCTAGAAAGAAACCCTAACTCATCCTTCCTTCCTTCCGTCCTTTTGAGTTTCTTAGTTGAAGTCTTGTTTCTGTGTATGTATGTCTTTCTGTAACAGAATCAACGCAGCCTCTGGCTGCTCGCTCTGCTTAGTTTGAAGAAGTGTCGGAAACTTTGATTTGTGCTGAAAGTTGCTCGATTTGAACAAGCTAGTTTTTATCTATATAAAGATGTCTATTATATATGTGTGTTAGATGAGTTAACATCTAGTTTATGTTGCAAATGTCTACTATGCGACGTCTGCGACACAGGAAGACCAACAGGCAGGCAGGTGCCATTGTAGGATAAGGAGTCCTCTAGGAAGCCTGGAGAAGTTATCGACGATGAACGACCCATCTGCAATGCCGAGATAGTCACTGACTATGGACGAGAGGGCTACTGCTGATGCCACTAACGCCATCAGGGAACCCTCGCATCCTGGAGGGCATAGCTGCGTTGAATGGGAGAAGCTTCAAGTAGAGTGCCTCCAGGAGACCCGAGAAAATTACAACAGAAAGCGAATCCATGTTCCGGTAAACTCCCTCCCTGCACGAACAGGACATCGGAGGCCACGAGCAGTGCCATTGTTGTCTGAATCGCAGCTGTCAGACGACCATTGTATACCACTCTCCAGGAGGCCTGGCCAAACGCCTGCCTAAACGGATGAATTGATTTTGAGGTGCTCTGTTTGGTAATTGAACATGCATGGTCTCCTGTCAGTGATGGCGGAGGAGATCTGGATGAGCTGCTTTGCTTGGTGATCCCAGAATTGGCACTCTTTGGGAGGTTGAGGGATCTTTCACCGACCGAGATGGTGATAGAGAAATTGGCGGGAGGAAATTAATGCGACGAAGAGGAACATAGGTTGAGAGAAGTTGCTAAGGCGTCAGCAACTCAGCTCAGCTCCCACAGACTTGGAACTAAAACATCCCAGAATTGAATCAAAGAAACAAACAGGTGTTGGCAATTCCAACCCACGTCCTTGTCCATACAAAATCTGGCCGTCATATTGTTTTACACGATGATAGGGTGTTTTACAGCAAATTCCACTTAAATTGAAGGCTGTTACATTTTGAACATAAAAACACAGCCCTTTTTCTAACCATACAACTTTATTGCACATGCCTGCGTTGTTCCCTAACATTACCCTCTTGCCCCCCTGTTCAGGGCATCGCCACATTGAAATTCTCCAAATCTTATTTTAAACACAAAAAGAGAAAAGGGGAGAAAAAATCAGCAAGCACCACTCACTTCTTCAGCAACTGGGAGCTGCACTGCACCATGATCTTCGAAGCCCTAGTAATGGAGTTGGTCATGTAGAAATTGTCCACAGCGGCCTTAAACGGAGTGGAGCTCACCTTCTCCTTAACCTCAGGTTTCAGTGATGGCCCAAACGTCGCGGGCTCTCTCTCGTCCAAGCTCAAGAGATTTGGTGCAACCATCCTAATTCGTGACCTAACACCCCCAGCTGTATCGTAGGGCAAGGGGGCTCCAGCAACTTCAGACAATGCGCGAATGATCTTCCAGTCATCTCTTGCATCACCAACTGTGGGGACTGCTGCCAAAGTCTGCTGCGAGCATCCTTCGGTGTTCTCATACGTTCCTTCCTTCTCAGAAAATGCTGATGCAGGGAGGATTACGTTGGCACAGTACACACTCTTGTCACCATGGTGACCCTGATAAACGACAAATGCGTCTTTTGGGATTTCATCCAGGTTCACGTCATCAGCACCCATTAGATAGACAAACTTGGCAGACTTGATTCCGTCAGTCGACTGTGGGACCAGCCCAAGATCGAGAGCGGCAGCTTGGGCGGCGTTGAGGAGCAAGACATTGAATCCATTCCAGTCTGGTCTAATTACATTGAAGCTGGTGGCAATGTTCTCGACTGTGGCGAATATGGCTTCCTTGTCTTGTCTATCGAAGAGACCTGCACCCACAACTATAGCTGGGTTTTTGGCGTTTTTTATTGTCGAGGAGAATGGATGTCGTCCCTCAGCAATTTCGACTAGGGTCTCTGGGCCTGTCCCGAGATGCTGACAATCGTAGTTGAATTCGGTAGGTTGGCCAATGTAACCGACTTTGGCATTGTTTGCTCTGACGGTCTTGCGGATTCTGGCATTTACCATGGCAGCTTCTACCCTTGGCTGGCAATTCGTAAGCCCAAAATATTAGTTAGTGAAAAACAATGGCCTATAAGGAGAAGAATAAAGTACCAATACACATCTATATCAACCATCCTGATATATGGCACCCAAAACTCTACAGCAGAAGAGCCCAAGAAAATAAGATCACCACATTAACTACAACAAAAAGAAGACAGATCCGTAAAATTCCATACAAGTCAGCAGTATTGATCATAAGACTTGCACTTTGAAAAACATGCATTGCGGTAGACTTCATTATTTGGGTAAGAGCCAAGAACTCTATGGCAGGTTGATTTGGCGTAGTTGGAAAGTGATTTTATTTTATGTAATTGAAGTTTAAACTGAAATGTTAAATTATATGGGAGAAGAAAGGATGCGAAATTGACATTTGACAGCAGTCATGCTAAAATGTGGTAAAACTAAAGTTGATCGAAAAGCACGAGGACAATGTAAGATGAGATAACAAGCACGGTAACAAGAAATTCACAATTAATAAATTCTGACGTAGATTTTACCTGAGTGCCAACCAGGAGGAAAGCATCCGCCTTTTCAAGGTCACTTATACCAGTGTTCATGATGTATCCAGATCGGAGATCAGCAACTGGACTAGGACCATTTCCTTCACATGTAACATTATTTGACCCCATTTTGTTCAAGAAATCTTTCAGCACCATCATGGATTCAGCATCAGATAGCTGGCCAGCAATCCCAACAATTTCTTCTGGTTTAACCTGATGGATCACCTCAGCAACCACGGCTAAGGCATCTCGCCAGCTAACAGTTTTAAAGCGACCATCAGACCCCCGGATCATTGGATCATTAAGTCTCTGCCTCTTCAAACCATCATAAGAGAACCTAGTTTTATCCGATATCCATTCTTCATTTATTTCCTGCAGCAGGCCAGTTTAACTATGAACAAAGATGCAAACAACGAGTACTCAAAGCTATTAATATAAACCACAAGAGATGATACTAAGTAAATATCCAACAGGGCATAGACCGGATTTCTGAAGATCTTTCTTTATGCACCGTTCCAAGTTTAGGATGGTGTCTCAACAACTACAAAACTAATCATCAGCAACAACTGTTGGCACTTTGGATCATATCTCACCAGTTGAACTACGTTTTGTTTCTTTGTTACAGTACTACGAAATGCACATACAATTGATTAACTAAAAAATCTGCATTTCATGCAGCCAAAACTCCCAACCAAGTGCAAAAGAAGGCATTTAATGGAAGAACAATAGTAGGCATAATGAATACTAAAAGATGATTGACAGTTACCTCATTCAACCTCGGGAGAATGCGCATAACTTCTGGACCTCTGCTATCTATCCGGATGTTGGATCCGACTGCATCACTAACATCAATGCTCTCGGTTCCCTTTAGTTCCCAATTCCTGGCTTTAAATGCGAAAGGCTTTGATGTAAGAGCACCAACAGGACATATATCTATAACATTTCCAGAGAGTTCACTGGTCATTAGCTTCTCAACGTAAGTCCCAATTTCTTCTCCACTGCCACGACCTAACATGCCAAGATCCTGAGAACCAGCAACTTCAGTTGCAAACCTGACACACCTGGTACACCAAAAAACAACGTAAAAATGATCAACTGAAAGAAGGCCATGTTATGAAGGTCTGGCTCACTGTATATGCAAAATACCAAGACAAGAAAGTAAAAGCATTATGGATTGTACACCAAAAATATGAGAACACAAACCTTAAATAAAGCAGTGTTACTAGTTCAAAATCTAGTAACTAAATAGGTCATATAAAATGTGACAAAAAGAGAAATACTCAGACCTTGTACACTGTATGCATCGAGTCATAACAGTCTTGACCAGAGGACCTAAATTCTTATCAACCACAGACCGCTTCATTTCAGTGAACCTGCCTCGATCAGATCCAAAAGCCATGGACTGATCTTGAAGATCGCATTCTCCACCTTGATCACAGATTGGGCAATCCAAAGGATGATTCATCAACAAGAATTCCATCACCCCTTCACGTGCCTTCTTCGCCAAAGGAGTGTCTGTTTTAATTTTCATCCCTGCAATAATTCGCGATTCGCCGACTCATTAGACCAAACTAGACAAGATATACAAAATCCTGCCAAAGATCATATATAATTCAGTGAAACTAAGTCAATATATCAAACAAGATATCCACACATATACATAAATTGGAAGAGACTACCACTACAAAAAAATCCATTTTTCGCCGGACCAAAATCAAGTTAAACCCCTGGATTTTGTTTAACTAATGTTTACATCTGCCTGCATCAACAACTAGTTCAATGTTCCAAAAAGCATCCTGAGAATTTCTACACTAGAAAGCTTAATTGGATCAGAAGTCATTCTAACCTATTAAGTACTAAAATTCTAGGGGCTGAAGCTGCAACGTAAGCAAAGAGCTGAAGTGAGAAACATTAACAGATTTTCTAGTTACTAGTTCCACAACCACTACTCCACTAGTACAAAAGCGATTAAGAATCCATCGCCAATGTAATAAAACAAGATAACTGATAAATAGGGGAAACAGAAGAACAAAAGATATCAGATTCAACACGTTAAAGGATAGAAAACCAAAAGTTCAGCAGAAAGCCAAGCTTCACACGATAGGCTAATTGTTCACTCCTAAGTTGATGAAGAGTTGATCTTAACGCTGTTCTATTTAGAAAAGAAATGGAAATAGCGTACAGATTCCACAATTTCAGCTCCAAATAATAAAAACCCAAATATTATCCAATTCCGATCAGGGCAGAACCAGATCAAATTCCATTGACCAATCATTCAAATAGAACTTAAAAAGGGTTTAAAAAAGAATATGAACAAGGAATGAAAAAAAAAGGAGAGGAGAGACGGATTTAAAAACCAGGAAGAGCAGGCATGGCACAGGAGGCGACAGGCTTTGGGGACTTCTCAACCTCAACAAGACACATTCTGCAGTTCCCTGCGATCGAGAGACGGCTGTGGTAACAGAACCTCGGGATATCAACCCCGGCGATTTCACAAGCCTGCAGAACCGTCATCCCCTTGGGGATTTTGACTGGATACCCATCGACGAACACCTCGATGGCGTCCGCGGGATTGGGGAAGTGAACCCGGGCCCCGCCCACCGGGTTCCGAGGCGGGAGATCTGGAGTCGGCTCTGGCGCGGCCGCTGCGGCAGCCTCGGGAGATTGGAGCTCGGGCTTGGTGACGATGGAGCGGAGGAGGAAGAGATTCCTGGGGTTAGCGCGGGGTCTGAGTACCCGTGAAGCTAGTAACCCTAGCCCCATTTTTCTTTCCCGGCCACTCTTCGGGTTCGCTCTGAGGCGCGGATTAGAAATCGCCTTCGAATCCAAATTTGGCGGAGAGTGTGATCGCGGTGGTGAATGGTGATGGCGGAAGCGTGCGTCCGTCAGAAGACAAGACACAGAAGTGAGGGGAATGGGAAGGGCTCAAGAAGTGTGTTATTGTTGGATGGAAATTGCCCAGCGACTAACAATCTGAAAAAATCACATAATACACTAGTTAGTAAAAAAATTTCCCAAAATACAGTACTTAAGAAAAATTTTCTCAAAATACAGCAGTTTGGGATTCATCGTTGGGGACCAAGACAGTGAATATCATCACCGCTGCAAACAAAAACGGTGAATGCTTCACAGCTGTGGTTCAAAACGGTGAACCCTTCACCGTGATTTTCCAAAACGGGGATTCTTTCCCACGTTTTACAACCCTGGTAAGTTGGAAGTTAGGTAAGAACGACCTAGCATTCACCGTCGTGGTCAAAAGAGGTGATAGTTCACCGCTTTAGTCAAGCGCGGTGATTAGGCCCCAAAAATTCCTATAAATACCCAGCCCTCAGATTCCCCCTTACAGCAATTCAATACGAAATTAGTGCCTTTTTTGTCCTTTTCTCAGTTGGCTTACAACAACAAGAAACTCACCGGGATTCGGTATGTTATAATTATGTATTGTTTACATGTTGATGTATGAGTAATTATATGTCTGTATTTAGTGAATTTCGGTTATTGGCAAATATGTTATGTTAGAGATATTTAGATGAATTATGGTATGGTTGATGTTAGTTAGTTATGAATTTAGATGAATTTGGATAGTTTTCTCATGATAGATCAGTTAGTTGCGGTTGTTAATGGGTTTGGATGATATTATTTTCGTATCCCTAATGTACTAACTATACTATAGTAATCTTATTCTAGTTAAGCTAATAGTTACTTATTGTAATTTGCAGACATGGGTAAATTTAAGAAGTTTCAGCTTATTATTCGGTGGAATGGTCGGGTGACAAACTCGGACTTTGGGATCAACTATGAAAATGGCGAATCCACTATGCTAAAAATTGAGTCGAGATTCACGTGGCAAGAACTACGTGACATTTGTGCAGAAAGGACTTGTATGGACGGGCAAAGGAGAGTTGGTCAAATTACTTACCAGTATCCAAACATGAGTGTTGGCGGAGTTATGTACGAAGAAGTTGTCATAAATGATGATGACGCGGTGAACATGATGATACAGTTCCTATCTGACAACGAGATGCGGCTTGCAGAAGTGTATGTCGAGACCGAGCCGGTCGGTGAAACTCATTTTCACCAATATTCTTGTGATGATGGTTTTGCAGGAGGGTTCGGCTGGGGTGGTAGTTCAAGCAACATTGGAGGAGGTAGTTCTGTAGGAGGCTACGACTGGGGTGGAGGTCCAAGCAACTACGGAGGAGGGTGGTAGTTCAAGCAACATTGGAGGAGGTAGTTCTGCAGGAGGCTACGACTGGGGTGGAGGTCCAAGCAACTACGGAGGAGGTAATTATGCAGGAGGTGTTGGTGGGAAGAATACCCGCAAAATGCTGAGACTGCCCCATTCGTTGAGCCCGACGGTGATCAATGGCCTGCTTGGGGGCCAGAGTGGGCTGACATTGAGAACCACCTTCGAACAGGGCGTACTTCACATGACCGAGAAGATGAGGTTGGTTATGTTGGTAACGATGATCCTCCTGAGCCGAGCTATCCATTCGCCTCCAGCGACGAGGAAAGTGAGGAAGATTTGAGATCAGTCAGTGAGGATGAAGATACGGACGATATCGAGGAGAGCGAGGTGGCGTTCCGTGAGGCACCAACGCCTTACTACACAGAGGTTCCATCTCAATTTTTATATAGTCAGAACGATCCCCCTAATTTTCGGCCTATGCCTATGTATAATCCGACTGCCAATTCGGAGGTGGGTATGCGCCCACTTCGAAAGTCGATGTTCAAGATGCTTTTATCGAAGAATCCATGAGACGCAATTTCGAATGGAAGGTAAAATATTCTGACACCAAACAACTACATGTCATTTGAAAAAATGCTGGAGAGGGTTGCTTGTGGCAACTGCGGGCTGCAAATATGAAGAGAAAGGGTGCCTGGGTCATTCGGACAGCAGAGAACAACCACAACTGCTCCTCAAACATACTGTCCCAGGATCACAGGCAACTGAAAGCAAAGAAAGTGGCAAGAACCATTAAGCACTTGATCGAGGCACAACCAGATATTAAAATCAAAGCTATCTTGGCCGAGGTGAAGGATCGACACTCCTACACGATCAAGTATAAGAAGGCGTGGCATGGGAAGCAGAAGGCCATGGCTGAGGTATATGGTGATTGGGACGACTCGTATGCTTTACTCCCTAGATTAATGGCCGCAATGGAGGAGTCCAACCCCGGGACTATTTCCGTGCCCTGTTACAACAATGTATACACTGAGGATCAAGTTCGAGTATAGAACAAGTTGATGTTTCATCGTCTGTTCTGGACCTTCAAGCCATGCATTGATGGTTTTGCTTTCTGCATGCCAGTTATCCAGCTATATTACAGTATAAACAATGTTGTTGTGTTTTTTTTACTAAGTAATATTTATACTAACTATAGATAATTTTAACAGGTTGATGGAACATTCCTTACTGGGAAATATAAAGGAACTCTTCTCATTGCCACTGGCGTTGATGGAAATTTAAGTATTTTCCCCCTGGCGTTTGCATTAGTTGAAGGGGAGAACAACTTAAGTTGGGCATGGTTCTTTGACATGCTACACCAACACGTAACACAAAGAATGGGTATTACAATTATATCCGATCGACATGCCGGGATTAAGCACGCCGTGAATGGTTTTCCCGACGAATGGGGGTGGACATGGCGCTGGTGTATTCGACACTTTCTTGCAAATTTCCAGCACAAGTTTGGGAAGAAGAAAGACATAAGAGATCAATTGTGGAATGCAGGTACTAATGTAATTATGTGCTTGTTCATGGTTTACTTTTCATATGAAATCTATCATGTCTTAATTATTTATTCTATGGTCTTGAAGCGGTTGCACATCAACCAAAGAAATACGAGCAGACGATTAAGGCGATCCGTCAGATACACCGGGCTGGTGCAGTTTGGGCAGAAGGTCAAGATCTGCACATGTGGACATTCCACATGGACAACGGGGCTAGATTCGTCATTGCAACTACCAATCATGGCAAGAGCATAAATGGAGTCTACAAGGGCGTTAGGGCAATGCATGTATCTGTCCTAGTGGAAATGACGTACTGGAAGGTAAACGAGTGGTTTGTGAAGCGACTTCAGCAAGCTATAGGGAGGGAGCGAGCTGGGCACCGGCATGCAATAGCACTTCATGTCGAACGAGACATGCAGAAGGAGGAGAAATCAAGTAAGCACATAGTTGTTCTTTTCAACCGCAATGAAGGTGTTTTTGCTGTTCAAACAGGTATCTAGGGAGGAGGTAGAATTGGGCACAATCGTCAATCTGTTACTCTACACGTAGAAACTCGCACTGGTGAGTGTACATGACTCAAATCTAATCAAGTTAGTTGCCATGAATCAAATCAAAGCATGTAATCTAGGGAAAAAAACATAAGAATATGATGAAGATTAAGAATTGGAAACACTTACCACCGCTCCCCACACAACACCTTGCTTTGACACCCATCTAAGTGTGAATTTCCAATACCACACCATGTATCCATCGTGGTACCCCATTGGTCTCGTCTCCGGTAAACCTTGGACAACCCAAGTCGTTATATTCTCCCAAATGTTGATGTAGAACTCATGCTTGCGGATCCAATTCTTTGATTTGTGTCGTAGGTCGATGGCATGGAGCTCTTTGAACCCTTGAGGTGGGGATGCTGGAATTGGTTGCTCCATCCGATACTGCCTCAATGCTCGATCCTGCAGGTGCCACTCCACCATGTGCCAACAGATCAAGGGCACCTTGCACAACCACGTCTCTACACCCTGGGGGTGTCTAAGACGATGAATCTTGACGACTTGATGTGGATATGGATCCCATGTCACCTACACTCATTAATGATTTGGATTTAGTACAAATTGCAACCAAATCCATTTTAAAATTTTCAAACGATCCAATTTGACATTTTTACCTGGTTCCACCAAGGCTTATCAAACTCAGCACGATAAAACAGTAAGGAGTGCTCGGGCTGGTGGTCGTTTTTATTTGCTCCAATCCACCTTATTAAGAAAAAGTACTTATATAAGATATTTTAAAAGAATCTAAATTCGCTAAATTGCATAATTGGATTGTATCTAAATTCACTAAATTCACTAAGTTACTAAAATTGCATACTTGGATTGTATCTAAATTCACTAAAAAAACTAAAATTGCATACTTGGATTGTATCTAAATTCACTAAAATAACTAAATTCTCTAAATTCACTAAAATACTAAAATTGCATACTTGGAATAAAATTAGCATGTAAATTAATCTTACTTGACACCATAGGGGGATTTGCTAGAAAGCGTAGCTCCTCATCTGGACCCCAAAATTCCCGCGGGTCTCGGGGAGCGAACATTGGAAGATGCTCCCATGCCCAGAGTTGGAGTATGAACATCGCACCTCCAGCTTGTTTCGCTCCCAACCTCGAGCAAGTGCACAGCTCTCGGTAGATCCTAGCCAATACGGCCGACCCCCAACTCTTCCCCCCGATCTCGTCCCAATCATCGAGGAGCAACGACAACCACATGCCTTGAATCCACCGGTTTGCCTTGTCGGGGAACAGAAATCCACCAACCAATCCAATGAGGTAGACGCGTGAATATCGCTCCACCTGATATTCGGGAGTGTCTGGCCCTAAATTCACTTCCTGTTGGAGAGAGTATCGACAAAACTTTAGAGAAAAAGATTTAAAACAAAATAAAAACTATAGTAATTCTTTCTAATGTGGAAGATCAGATTTAGCCGCAACTACAGAGCATACTTAGAACGAGACTAGAGGGAAGTAATGGAG